AAAATCTTGGTCCTTGAAAAGATTATGGTAGGTATAAAAATCTTGGTCCTTGAAAAGATTATGGTAGGTATAAAAATCTTGGTCCTTGAAAAGATTATGGTAGGTATAAAAATCTTGGTCCTTGAAAAGATTATGGTAGGTATCTTCTAGAGTGAAAAAATATCTGCCTCACCACTCCCCAAATGCTGTACCGGGGGTCAACCTGCAGAACAAGACTAGCACAACAATTGGGCTATCACTTCTAAAAGGAGATAGAATCTGTATCTTCTAAAAGGAGATAGAATCTGTATTCTACAGCATGCCTGTCCGACCCCTGTTAAAAAGCAATACCCAACCTGCATTTATCAAACAATTCCTTTCCATCAAAAGTCCATTTTTTGTAACGACCCCAAATATATTACTAGTAATGAAGGGGACAATGGGATTATATATTAAAAAATCACATTTAAATATAACTTATATCTCAAAACCATTTTAGTTTCTTGCCAATCCATAAACACCCTACACCTACACAAAAACCAATAACTGCTGTAATAACAACTGGATTAGATAAAATGGCTCCACAAGTGCCTACTTATGAAGCTTCAACCAATGCAGTTCCCGCCATATCAACTCCTAACTTTTTAACTATAAAACTTTAAACTGTTTCACTGATTGCCTACGTACATAATGCTATCGAAGAACTAAATGTACAGATTCCTAAATTAATTATAAACGAGAAATGAAAAATAAAAATGATTTTTAAAGAAAAAATTTCAGTTTACTTAAAAAAAAAGTTATCAGGCTAGATGACCAATAAAACCTCCTATTATTGTTGGTGAAGTAAGGAGAGTACCTCCAATAATGACATCTGACTTCATAAAATTTATTACCTTCGATTTAAACCTCTCATAAAATTTAGATGTTAAATTAAAGCTAAATCGGTACAATATTTATATCAAATTAGGGCAAGTAGTACCCACAATTATCAAAAAAAAAGTAGAACAAGATTTTCCAATTTTTTCTAGGATAGAATCATCTTTTTATTCCCAAATAAAGAACAACTCATAACAGATGGATGCGATAGCAATAAACCCTCCCATAACAGGAATTTAAGTTAGCATTTTCAAAAGCGCCAAAATGAGTATCATTGCAATCACCTTAGAAAAAGATAAATTATGTAAATTCCAAAAAATATATTCAGTAATTTAAGTACATAGGGATAGAAGATTCTAAGCAATTTTTTAAGGTTTTTGTTAGGGTATTTCTACTTTTTTATCTACATTTTAACCTACTTCTAGATTCATATCTGATTATACTTTTGAATCTGCTTGTCCCTTTTGATATCTTTTTTTTACTGTTTACCAACCCTCCACTATTTTCATCCAGCTTTTCTTACAAATTTGTTTAAATGTATGTTTCAATGAATTTAATTAAATTTTTACCTCTTTGTTCTTATCTTCTATTTGTCTTTCATTTAAATAAATTATAACTTTGTTGACAAAATGTATGCAAGAATTGTTCTAAAGATTGTATTTTTGATTTCCTTTAGAAAGCTAAATAAGATCTTCCTCATATATTGGTTCCTTAAAATCACTTGCCTGAAAGACATAAATTTTTTTATATTCATTAATCTCATAGTCTTGTATATTTTCTGACACAAATCCAACATTAAGATTGTGTAAAATAACTTTTTTTTCAGCAGTGCTTATGATTACAGCATAATGTGACCAATCCTAATCGTATAAGAATTCTTTAAGTTTGTTCATGACCCAATTTTCTTTTCCATTATTTTTTACTTTTGACAGTTTTACTGAGAGAGGTCTTGATACAATTTATATTGTTTAAATATTTGGTTTTTTTTTAGTCATTTTGCTATTATCCTAATTTTGAGCTTGATTTATAAGACATTTCATTCTATTAGAAATTTTATAATAGAATAAAGTCATGGATTTTTTCAAATAGAATTATCTCCATTTATCTTAAAAATAATTTATTAAATTTTAAATAGAATAAATTTATTAAGGAAATAAGTTTAATATTTAAATTTTATATCAAAAGTTTCTTGGGACAAATAACAAGAGGATCAAATTTCTCCATTTTTCCTCTATTTTTTTAATCTTAACAATTTTATTATATTATTCATAATTTTTTTGGATGATAAATTATGAAATTGATTTTTTTAATTGTAGAAATTCTGTAAATCTAAACAAAAATGTAAATCACATATAATTTTTAATAATAATTTATTTATCTTATTGTAAATACCCCCTTATCTTATTTAAACTATATATCTCTTGTTAATTAATAGGCTATTAAATTAAATAAATAAATAAATAGAAAACTTAGTTGTAACCAAAATATCAAAATTGATTTTTACAAGATTACTACATACGAAAATTAATAATTAATTTCTTTATAAAATATGCAAAAATTGTTGTTTACAGAAGAAGGGTTGTAGATAATGAGAAGTAGGAACAGTGATCCAATTAAATAAAACAGTGAAAATAAAGGAATATCAATAAGACCAAAATGTCTGCGAATTCAATCATTATCAAGATAATGTAACCGTGTTAGAGTAGGAACATTGAAGAATACATTTAATTTATCAAGCCCTGAAAATCTATTATAAGTTCTACCATTTACAAGATAGAAGCATAAAGCTACAAGCATTCCTTAAGTGCTTTCGGTTGATTAATTGTAAGGGAGACAATAAGAAGATTTGTTGCAAATGGCAGCTAGTCATTTACATCTGCCTAATAGAAGTGTGAAGGATGGAATTGGTAGACACCATTTATAATCAATTCGATTAAGAACTGGGGATTGGTTTTAATGGAAGAATATTCCAATGTTAGCAAGTGTAGTGGATGATTTTTAGAAAAAATTAAAGTATGGAAATTTAATCATAGAGATTATAGTAAACATCTGAAGAGGAAGAACATATGAAAGCAGAAAAAAGATTGATATAGCATGAGTTCGAAATGAAAAAACTTGAATAAATATAAAAGAGAACAGCTTAAAATTTAAATTAGGTTTTGGAATAAAAATCATTGACTTATAATATTGATTTGGATGAGTTTTGGAAGTAAATGAAAGAAAATGTAATTAAATTATATAATATTAAATAAGAGTAAATATTTTTAACATCATACAGAAGAGATGGCAAAGAGTAAGGCAAGTAAATAGGAGAGATTAGAGAAATTCTAAAAGAAGTTCGGTGATAAAAAAGCTTTTATTCCACAAATATAAAAGCAAAATGTTAATAATAAGGAAACAGCATATTATGATATATGAAAATAATTAATTATGGAAAAATTAATACCTTTCATAAATGACCTGCATGTATAGAATTAATTATACCGTTCTTTTAGGATATACTGAGTTAAGCAGGATTGAGTAGTGAATTAAATTTACCTTCTATTGTAGTAATAGGATCCTAATCAGTTGGAAAATCATCTCTTCTTGAAAGTATTGTAGGTAGAGAGTTTTTGCCAAGAGGAAAAGGAATAGTAACAAGAAGACCAATAGAGATCTAATTACATTAAGTCCTAGATGCAGAATAAGGATGGTTTGAGTTTATGGATAAGAAAGGGGAAAAGATATTTGAATCAGAAGATATAAGGAAATTAATAGAAGCAGAGACTGATAAAGTAGCAGGAAAAAATAAGGGAATTTCTCCTGTCCCAATAAAAGTGAAATATTTTTCAAAAGATATTCTTGATCTTCAACTAATAGATTTACCAGGAATAACAAAGAATCCCGTTGGAGATCAACCTTAAGATATTGAATAAAAAGTATTGGATATTGTAATTCCATTTATTAAAAACTAAAATAGTTTAATATTGGCAGTATCCAAAGCATCTGATGATTTAGCAACATCAGATGGATTGAAATTAGCTAGAAGTGTAGATCCAAATGGATTAAGAACTATAGGTGTAATTACTTAATTGGATTTAATGGATGATGGCACAGATGCTTTAAATGATTTACTCAATTAGACATATCCTTTATAATTAGGATATGTAGGAGTAATAATGAGAGGATAAAAAGACATTCAGAAGAATAAGACTATAACTGAATAATTGAAAGATGAGAAATCTTTTTTTGAAAATCATAGATTATACAAAAAATATTCTGAGAAAATGGGTATTAATTTTCTAGTTAAGACCTTAAATATGAATTTTATATAGCACATTAAGAAGGCATTACCTATTATCAGAGAAACTATTATAAGTTTAGTATAAATTAAAGAATATGATTTAAAATAATATGGAGATTATGACAATTTAGAGACTAAAGAAAATAAAAATTTATTAGTTTTGACTTTGATATCTAAGTTTTCTAATTCATATAAGGATATGTTAGAAGGGAGATGTTTAGATATTACTAGTAAAGAATTGATTGGAGGATCTAGAATTATTTATGTTTTTAACGAAACTTTTAGAAGAACAGTTTAGAAAATGAATCCATTTGATGTCTTAAGCGATGATGAAATAAGAACAGCTATTAAAAATGCAAATGGTATTAGGCCAACTCTATTCGTCCCAGAAGGAGCATTTGAATTGTTAGTAAGACAATAGATCTCAAGATTGAGAATGCCTTCCATTGAATGTTCTCATATTGTATTTGAAGAATTAAGAAGAGTAGTGAATTAAATTTCTATTCCAGAGATAGAAAGATTTGATACTCTAGCAAATAGAATTTCAGAAGTTTTTGAAAATCTATTAAACAAATGTTTAAGATAAACAGAAGAAATAATATCAAGTTTGATTGAAATAGAATTAGGATATATAAATACAAGTCATCCAGATTTTGTATCTGGAATGGATATGGTTCATAAAGATGAATAAAGATAATAGTAATAAGTTCAATAATAGAAAGAGAAATCTCCTTTGTAGAGTGAAAATGAATCGAATAAATTTTTCAATTTTTGGCCTTTCAAAAATAATAAATAAACAGAACTCTATGATAGCAAATTAGACAATTTAAATAAGAAGAGAAAAACTAATATAAATAGTCAAAAATAACAAAAATTATAATAATTAGAGGAAAGTTAAATATTATAATAATAATCAGTGATCAATAAGATTGTATCTGTTAATCAATAATATTTTATGAATGATCCTAAAAGATAATTGCCTTAAGTTCCAAATACAATTAAGATTACTGAAAGACCATCTAAAAGAGAGTAAACAGAAATGGATATGATAAAGGATTTATTAGTGTCTTATTTTAATTTAGTAAAGAAGAATATTTGTGATTCAGTTCCAAAGACTGTTATAACATTTTTAGTAAATTAATCTAGAAATTTTTGTGAAAGAGAATTGATTGGAGTATTGTATAAATAAGAATTAGTGGATGAATTATTACAAGAGAATTAATTTATATAAAAATCAAGATAAGAGACTAAATAATCTTTGATAAGTCTAAGAACATGTTTGAATTTATTGAATGATTTAGATTCAAAATTCTGAAATTATTTAATAATAAAAAATTAATTGAAATTCGTTAAAAAACACATATTATAATTAATCTTTTAATTAATTTTTTTATTTGTTCAATGCTCAATCAAGACTTAATTTAAGAATTTGAAGTGAATGGATATAATTTACCAAAAATGGAAAAGAAATTATGCATAAATCAAATAAAATAAATGCTATAGAGTCATCCAATAGACTTTGATTTTATAGTAGCCAATACTAAACCAACAACAAACTAAATGAATATATTGTAATAAAAGTCACATATTTAAACAATTCTTAACTCCGAAAATGATTATAAGATTAGCTGTCCAGTTTTCGATTTCAATCAATTGAATGAATTACTTCCGAATAAGAATAGAAATAAGATAAATGAAATTAAATGTAAAGTTGAAACTCTTTTGAATTGTAGTCATATAGATCCACCATAAACAATAAAGAAAAGGTATGTGATTAATATAATAAAAAAATATAAGATGGTGGACAGAAGATGAAGACTAATAACTTAAAGATTTAGTGTTTTAATATGGTGCTAAGAATTGGAAGAAAATAGCATCATTTTTTTAAGATAGAACAGACGTATAATGTTTACATCGTTGGCAAAAAGTTTTAAATCCTGATTTAGTAAAAGGTCCTTGGACATAAGAAGAGGATGAACTTTTAGTAAGATTAGTAGTTGGATATGGTCCTAAAAATTGGAGTTAAATAGCTAAACATTTACCAGGTAGAATTGGAAAGTAATGTAGAGAGAGGTTATATAATATAATTAATAATATAGATTTCATAATCATTTAGATCCTAAGATTAACAAAGAGAGATGGACTGATGAAGAAGATTAAACTATTATCGAAGCTCATAAAAAGTTAGGAAATCGTTGGTCCTTGATTGCTGGATTATTGAAAGGTAGAACAGATAATTCTATTAAAAATCATTGGAATAGCACATTAAAAAGAAGATTGAAAATGTAAAATAGATGGGAAGATTTATAAGTATTATAAAATTAAGATGACACTTAAATTAAGGGTATTCCAAGAAGACATATGTAAAGAAAAATCATTTATTAAAAAACACCAGTTAAAATGATCAAACATGATCCTGTATCAAGATAGTTGAATTTTCAAACTCCTTAATAATCTCCATCAAGTAAAAAGATTAATTATTCTTAATCTAGAACCAGAGTAAGTTCCAAAAAGTTTATTTATTGTATTCCCTAATTACAATTAAAAGTTAACGAATCTCTCTAGTGTAAATCTAATTAAGTAGTTGGGTGAGTTGCTGAACTTTGATCTTGATTTCAATAAACAATATAGTTATCAATGAGTTTATTATTCAATTAAATAAATATTATCACAGAATAAAATTTGATTTTATATTATAAAAAGTATTAATTATTAAAAAAAATGAAATTTCAAAGAATAGATTTCACATATTTCAAAGTAATGTAGTTAATAAAATTTGGTCAACTCAGATAATAAAATAAAGGATACTGATACAGTTAATAATTCTTGCGTAGTCTGAAGTATTCTAAGAAATGTCCTCAAAATACTTAATTTTCGAAGAAATATTTAGAAAGACTAAAATCTCTGAAAGAGATTAGATTTTGACTGGAGATTATAATATTGATCTTCTAGCAGATAAAAATTTTTAAATTCTAAAAAATGTTTTAAAATAATAAATAGAAAAATAAAAATTATATATTTAAGTGAAATAACTAACAAATTAAAGTTACATAAGCATGACTCTCTATGCACTTTAAAAATAAAGATTTAAGAACTAACATTACATTAGCCACAAAATCTTAGTAATTGAAAGAGTCTGTAATATCTTAAATTGATCACTTAGGAAGTTTTATAATAATATAATTCATTCGTATTAATAAATCTTTTACATAGCTAAATTTAAAGCAAATGTAAAACCTGTATTATATAGCATGTTTTCATTCTTAATGATCTCTATTCTCTAAATCTAATCGATAAAAGTAGAATTTTTTGTCTGATTATTCTAAGGATGTAAAATCATTTAAACTTTATTTGGGCTCTATTCTAGAAAATAGGAACATATCATTTGATTAGAGCTGTTTCTATTGTATTTATAATTCTTGTTCTTTTTACAATTCTTGAGTTTTTAATTTGATTTATATTAAAAATACCCACAAAAATATAGATTTATTGTATTTAATATTGAAATTTATTTATTTTTAATGTTTTTACGATTATTATTTCTGATAATAAGATTTTCCACTGCCATAGATGATAAAGTTGATTTATTGTTAACCAAAAATGAAAATTATCCTTTAATGGCATAATCAATAGTTATTCCATTAGATCATTTCCCCTATACTAGTGAAGAAATATTTTAATCAAGCACTTTTAAATAATCAATTCAATCTATATCTTAATCCTTCGTTGAGCTTAAAAAAGTTTATAATATTTAGGAAAATTTTTTGAAAATTTTTAAATTAGAAAGTACTAATTAAGAGGAAGTGAAAATTTGCTATTCTTATCCTAAAGAAATTATATGTGATTAGACATTTAAGAATTATCTTTTAAATAATCAATTAATAGAGCTTAACAGAAATTCTTTAAACTTTTACACAAATAGTTCAGATTGTTTAACAGTATTTGAGATTAGTTTAAATATNGAAAGACTAAAATCTCTGAAAGAGATTAGATTTTGACTGGAGATTATAATATTGATCTTCTAGCAGATAAAAATTTTTAAATTCTAAAAAATGTTTTAAAATAATAAATAGAAAAATAAAAATTATATATTTAAGTGAAATAACTAACAAATTAAAGTTACATAAGCATGACTCTCTATGCACTTTAAAAATAAAGATTTAAGAACTAACATTACATTAGCCACAAAATCTTAGTAATTGAAAGAGTCTGTAATATCTTAAATTGATCACTTAGGAAGTTTTATAATAATATAATTCATTCGTATTAATAAATCTTTTACATAGCTAAATTTAAAGCAAATGTAAAACCTGTATTATATAGCATGTTTTCATTCTTAATGATCTCTATTCTCTAAATCTAATCGATAAAAGTAGAATTTTTTGTCTGATTATTCTAAGGATGTAAAATCATTTAAACTTTATTTGGGCTCTATTCTAGAAAATAGGAACATATCATTTGATTAGAGCTGTTTCTATTGTATTTATAATTCTTGTTCTTTTTACAATTCTTGAGTTTTTAATTTGATTTATATTAAAAATACCCACAAAAATATAGATTTATTGTATTTAATATTGAAATTTATTTATTTTTAATGTTTTTACGATTATTATTTCTGATAATAAGATTTTCCACTGCCATAGATGATAAAGTTGATTTATTGTTAACCAAAAATGAAAATTATCCTTTAATGGCATAATCAATAGTTATTCCATTAGATCATTTCCCCTATACTAGTGAAGAAATATTTTAATCAAGCACTTTTAAATAATCAATTCAATCTATATCTTAATCCTTCGTTGAGCTTAAAAAAGTTTATAATATTTAGGAAAATTTTTTGAAAATTTTTAAATTAGAAAGTACTAATTAAGAGGAAGTGAAAATTTGCTATTCTTATCCTAAAGAAATTATATGTGATTAGACATTTAAGAATTATCTTTTAAATAATCAATTAATAGAGCTTAACAGAAATTCTTTAAACTTTTACACAAATAGTTCAGATTGTTTAACAGTATTTGAGATTAGTTTAAATATTTATTTACTTGAATGCAATGATATCCAAGGAAAATAATTAAAATTGATTAATTAAAATAGTTTAATAATCAATCAATTACTTATTCCAACTAAATTCAATTAATCTATGCATGTTATACAATAAAATTAAACTTATATAATTTATGAAGTTTATAAAGATAAATGTTATTTTACATTTGTTGAAATCAACAATCATTTTAATTTAGAAGTAGTGAAACTTTATTTTTTCAACGAAAATGTAATTTCTGAAGGGATGAATGGTGATATTGTGTTGGTTACTTCATAAAGAAAAAATACATTGAGTATTTTGTTTAATTAATTCGCATTAGAGATGGATACTACTTATTTTAATATTTCTAAACCTTTTAAGCTTAATGATAATAAAAGATAACTTTTTAGATCGATAATGAAGTAGAAAACACTATAATTTATAATTGATAAAACATAGTAATAAGAAATTTAATAAAAATAGAGAAGAGTGATTATTAATCCAAAAAACGATTAATTAAGGAATGCCTTTATTATTAGTTAGAATTATATATTATATTTTGGAAGGAAGATTTTCATTTCCAATAACAATGCAATCAACTACACAATAACTTAAGAATTTTAAGAGTTACTTGATTTAGGAAGCATACCCATATTATTTGGAATTACAAAGGCTGGATAAATCTAAATCTATTAAATTTTTGATTTACCATAATGTATAAATCTTAATTCTTCTAAAGTGCTTTTTGTAATAAATATAAATCAATTTAACTTTGAAATGTAGAAAATCTATACTCTTGAAGAAAATAAATCAGAAAAACCTGAATTAGTACCTTATATTTAAGAAAACATAATTTTTATTCTGTTAGATATAAATTTCTGTTGGAATGATGAATAATAACAAAATTATTTGGAAGATATTGCTTAAATTAAAATATCAGATTATCTTTATGGATCTATTTGGTAAATTGTTGGATTTAAAGACTTTGATTAAATTGTTGATAATTTAGATTAATTCAAAATTTTAAAATACTAGAGAAAATAATCGTCTCCTTTGTTATTAATTTATTTAGAAAATAGTGCTATCTATTTTGAGTTTTATTAGAATAAAACTGTTATTATTTAATATACTTTATAATAAAAATATCAGTTGCAAAATTATAATTTTAATATTGATAATTGTTAGGTTTTTACAAGCACTTTTGATTCAGATGTCATTATTGTAGATAAAAGAAATAAAAAAATTGTTATCTATTAATATATGGATTCAGAAATAAAAGTGAAACAATTCAAATTAAAATCAACAATAAATTCTATATTTTAATAAGATGATTTTTTAAGTATATCTTTAGAGAATTGTACTTAAATTCATATTTAAATGAAAACTTTAGAAATGTCCTAAACTATTTAAACCTTATAATAAAATTGTACTTATTACAATTCCTTAAATTAAAGAACAATATTTTATTCATAAAACTTAATTCAAATCTCATGGATTACCAAAGAAGTTTTTTCTTTCTAAAACATTATTGAATTTCAAAAACTATCTCCAGATTTTTATATACTGTTTTAATTAATTGAAAACTAAGTTCAGTCACAAATTTATTGTTTAGCATTTAATAAATTAATCTATCTAAAAAAGCTTATTACTCATGAATATTAAATACATTATCCTATTTAATATAAAACTTATTCATTTTAGTTCTTGGCTCTTTTAGCATTCAAAATAACTTAAAATAACATAGAGAATAATAAAGATTATTTTGTTTTAATATATGATTATTGGAAACCATAAAGTTCTTAACTTTTAAAAGTTATCCCTATTGATGATTCTCATTCTTAATTCAGTTTTATTGGCAAAAATAGATTTATAACTATATACAAAAAAGACGTGCTTATTTAAAATTTATTAGGAGTTTATGTTTCAATAAAAAAAATGAGTCTTAGTTCTGATACATACATTAAAACATCCCCATTAGAATTAAAAATTAAATCTCAAATTTCCGAATAATAAATATTATTAACAATAAAGTACAAATTTGTAAATAATAATTAAATATTGAGTAAGAAATTAGAGAATTAAAATAATTATTTTATTTTTTCTGATAATCGAAAATCTAAAATAATTGATATCTCAAACATTTTTGGAAATATTGATTCTATATTTTATAATAACAAAGCCAAAATGATTCCTTTATAATCAACAGAAATAGTGGATATTGTAAAATGTATATAGTACATTACGGATATCTGTTTAAAGGATGAAAAATCTCTCATAATCAATTCTTTTTCTGATAGCTATCATTTTAATATTGAAAATTTAACAATATTTTATTTGATTAAATATGAAAATTTTAATAATGGGTCATATTTATACTATTTAGACAATGATTATTATTTAAAAAAGCTAATACTCAATGAGCAAAGAGTGATTATTTACCAATAAAATTTATATGATCTGTAATTATGAAGATTTATTATTTTTTAGATATTCTGAATCATTTCGTGATCTTTATATAATTGGCTAGATACTCTTAATATATAATATGAAACTGTCAGCGTCAGTATTTCAAATTAAAAATCAAAAAATAGAGAAATTTTTAATAAACAATAAGAATGAGTATGATAATATTAAAATAATCTTTAAGAGTCAAAAATATTATATGATGACTTATAATTTCCATTTTGTTTAGTCAACTATTATAATAGCAGTAGCTGATGATCATCTAAATATAACTTGTCAAAAAATTTTTTCTCTTAAAGATATTTTAGATTAGGATTGGATAGTATTGAAATATTAATCAATTAAAGACATAGAAATAATAGATTGCATAGATGGAAACACTGAAATAAAATATAATTTTCTCCTTTGTTTTGAGCTTTTATAATGCTATAGAATTTTACTTACCTTAAATAAAGTAGATTAATCATTTTTTACAAAAGTTTAAAATGTAATTAGGTATGGAAATAAAAAGTAATTATAAAAGTTAGAATTGTTAAATAGTTAATATTTAATTCTTTAACTATAAAACCAGCAAAATAACCGGTTTTTTTAATTTTTTAAGTTAAACTAAGATATTTTTATAATTGATAGTTATTCAACTATTTACCATGAGTAAACAATTCATAAATTTCATATTTACAATTAAACACATTTTATTGAGAATACTTAATATTATTTAGAACATAATCTACGAAAATTTGTTGATTATTAAATATAATGCAATGATATATGTGATAATGATGAAATAATTATAACTCTTCAAAATAATGTATCATCAATAAATTTGACATTTGTATCAGAATCAAATTTTTAATCCCAAAAAAATTTATAAATCATCATAATATCAATAAATGCCTTACTAATCATACTATTCAACTAAAGAAAATAAAAATTTTTAAAATAGATATAAAATAAATAAAAAGTTATAATTGCAAATAAATGATTCATTTTATGCATTTTAAATAAAATATAAGATATTATTGTACAAAACATTTATACTTATTGGTTATATTTTTTCATTTTAGAAAGATATATATTTTTAAAATTTAGATTTTAATAAAAATAATTAAACTATAGATTTATATTATTATGATGAATAAACTAAGAGCTTTCTAAGTTATTATATAATTAATTTAAATAAAAAATAAAGATTTAAGAATTATTTTATATTTATTCAATAATATGTTCTTTATATTGATAAACCATAAACAATATTTTTGAAGCTTAAAAATAATAAATATTTAAATTAGGAAAATAATCACGATTAGTTTCTAAAATTCATGAAAGGGACATTATTAAAAAATAGTTTATGAATATCGTATGTTTATTGTTTTAATTGATCGAGAGAGGCATTTAATAAAAAATGGTGAACTTAAGATGGGCATGTTAATTAAGAAATTTTTAGAGTTTTTTTGAGTTCTTAAAAATTAATATCCCTATGTTATTTATTGTTATCGAATTTCATATCAAAAACTCTATTTATTGTCATACATATGATAAGTTACAACCTTAATCTAGCATAAAATTTTTAATCTTCTAATTCTTATTAATCTTCTAAAATTTTTTCTAATTCATAATAGCAATGTTATAAACATCTTCTATATGGAACTTTAAATTATTCGAACCTATTTAATTAGGAAGTCTTTAATAATATTATAAAATTACGTTTTTAAATCCACCTTCCATCTTTAATTGTAATAACAATTATTTTTCTTCTGTAATCATATCAAATTATTTACAATCAATTTCTAACGTTTGATTTTCTAATTTTATAATTTATTAAGAAATCTAAGCTTGTAATTCAAATATGTGCTTTTAAAGTTATTTAGAATTCTTAAGAAATGAATTCCATTCATTTTCTGTAACTTTAAGAAAGTTTATTTTTTCTTATATAAGTATAAGGAATTCACGCTTTAGAATTATTGTCATATTTAAAATGCAAAATCTTGTCCATACAACATGAGGGAATTAAATAATACATTATAAATAATGCATTTAATTTTCTAAAATAAAGAATTTGTAATAATAGAAATGTAACTCCCTCCATATTAAAGAAAATTGATTTTTTTCCTTAAAAATAAATAGATATAATACTTCATCAGATTTATTATATAATGACATAAAATTTGGATCTGAATCCTATCCTATAAAATGTTCATTTTACTTTTAATATTTAGTTGTGAATATTTTAATTTTAGTTTTTTCATTGAATTCTTTAGGCTATAATAATTGAAGTAAAATAATTACAACTGCCCATTCAGGATTAAAACTTTCTCGTTATTTAATTGAAATGGTAATGTGAACAAGACTTAATTAAGTACGATAAAATTCACGAATATGATCATTTTGAGGGATACATTTAAAGATGGAATGAAGATCTCCAAAAGTTATTCGTTTTTATTCGTTTGGATTTAACATTTTTACAAGAATAGATGCAAATTCTTTTTGTAAGACTTTCTTATTCAATTAAGTATAAAAATTGTTATAATCTTCAAAGGTTTTAAAGTTTTGTATAATATTGGACGTTAATAATTAATAAAGCAGACATCCCAACAACCAAATATCTATTCCTAATGAATAAGATTAATTTTAGAGAAATTCAGGTGGTGTTAGCTAAAGATTAGGATAAAATCCAAAAGCTGAAAGTTTTATTTGATTTTATTCAATATAAACATTTTAAATTGTAAAACATCGACCTAAAAACCCTTGTTAATGCAATTCATGTAATCCTATTAAAAGTTACTTGAATATGTCTGTTATTTCTTCTATTGATAAGGCTGTTTTATTAATTATTAATTCTTCAAGGGTTATACCATTAAGAGTTGGAAAATGATATAATTAGTTTTTTTCAAAGTCACATGGTTTCCTTAGATGTTATCCTTTAACTTTTTTTTCAGCATCAAAAAATAAGAATAACTCTTCATAAATTACTTTAGCTATTAATTTTTACTCTGAGTTAATCAATTTTGGGGTTAGAATTGCCTTTGTTCTAAAATTCAGTTCAATTTATTCAATTGATTCAGACATTATCTTTAATTAAGAAAATAAATAAGCTTTATGAATTCATTTAAATTTTGAGTATTTAAAATGTATTATTGAATATAATAAATATTAATTAATTATTATAGATTTTTTATGTCCAATCAATAGGTATAATCTAACAAATAGTATCCTTAATCTAATTAATAATAATACCCTTAATAGTATCCATTATAATATCCTTAATATTAATAAGCGTAAATTTAATAATCAAATGATGAATAGTCATAATAATAGTAATATTATAAACCTTAATAACATCATGATTCATATTAATAAGTTCCTCATTATCAATAATCCATTCCTTAAAATAATGTTGCCTTTAATATTGAAGAATAATGTAAATTTTATAAGTTTAAATAAATAGAGAAAAACCCTTTGGATGATTTTGAACATGCTGACTCTTTGTTATGCAATGTCGGATTTGATTAGAGAAAGAATTTTATTGTTAAAGTTTATAGTTTATTGACAATCTAATTATTTGTGACATTTCTTATGGTTACTATAGCCTGTTTTTCATAGTAATTTAGAGATCTTTTAATTAATCCTAATAATTATGAAGCAACACCATTTTATTGGACAATGTTTTCAATTTCATTTGTGACAGAATTAGCTATTTTTTGTTTTAAAAAATTAGCAAGAAAAGTAATAATATAGAATATTATAATAAAGGTTCCAAATAATTATATTGCTTTGACAATTTTTACAATAAGTTTTTCTTTTGTTGTTGCTGGATCATGTGCACTTTGTAAAGATGTCTTTGTAAATGGTGGAACATTAATTTTAATAGCTGCACTTATGACATTTGTTGTCACTGCTTCATTAACAGTTTATGCATACAAAACAAAAAATGATTTTACTTTGGCAGGTATAATATGAAATTCTATTTAGGTGGTTCATTATTCATTTTTTCATCTATTCTATTTATCCTCTTTATTTTTGCATATTGCTTCTTTGACCTTATTCTTTGGCTCATATTATGTTCATTTTCTGTAATTCTTTATGGATTCTATTTAATTTATGATACTTAATTGATTATAGGAGGAAAAGTACTTTTTATTTTTTAATTAGACTCATAAATTAACGATTGATGATTATGTAATTGGAACAATGTTCATTTACATAGATGTTATCATTATGTTTTTGAGAATATTGCAAATTCTGATGATATTATTTGGAAAAAAATGAAATATCATTTTTATCATAATTATTATAATTATTGTCTCCTTGTTTTCATATATATTTATTACTTCAATTTTTGCTATAAATATAATCTTCTTAGTTTTATATATTAATCTATTTTGAATGTTTCCATTTTGATGAACATCTAATGTAATTAAATTATCTCAAATTTTATTCAACATGTATTTTTAATTAAATATTAATGGTCTTCTATTCATAAATAATATTCATAATTTGATTTATCTTATTATTTTAATCTATAAGAAATGCATAATTATATATTCAATTGTTATTATTTTATATGTTTATACATTTTTTTTAAATTATTATTAATATAACTCATAATTAGAAGCATTATCATAATAATTATGGATAAATAAAATTTACTTTGTTTATCTTTAGGTGCTTATATAGGAGCGAGTCTAAGATTAGAAATTGTATCTACTTATACTAATTATTTTAATGATGACATAATACCAATTGATATGTTTGATAATTTTCTTGGATCATTTGTTATTGGATTCTATAATGATCGTTATAAAATCAAAGATCTAAGTTCACATTTAGCTATTAGTACAGGATTTTGTGGATGTTTGACTACTTTTTCATCTTGGATGTTAGGATCTATTAAATTAGCAAATTCAGAATAATGGCTTAATTGTTTAATTAATATTTTTCTAGGATTCATAATTGCTTATTCTGGATTTAAACTTGGTTAGAATGCTGAAATTGAATTCAAATTTCTATTTCATAAAAAATTACTTTATTTAGCATTTCTTAAAATAATAATATTTTAAGCTATTTTCAAAAAATGGAATATGATAATAACAGCATTATTATCTCCTTTTGGTGCCTTTCTAAGATTTTAAATAAGTAAATTAAACCATAAAAACTTTCCATTTGGTACTTTGATATGCAATTCTTTAGCAGTTTGGATAGCTCAATTACTGATTTTATCTACATTGTAATTTGATACTGATGATTCTAAAATCGTTAAAAGTATTTTAAAAGGTTTTTGTGGTAGTCTTTCAACTGTATCAACATGGATTAAAGAAATTTGTACAATGCAATCTATTGAATTAAGATTTATTTATTTTTGGATCTCTTTATTTTTGAGTTTATATATTGGTTTAATTATATGTTAATCATTATTTTGAATAATTTTATAAAAATCAATGTGAATATTACATTTTAGTTTTTAATTATTTATCATTATTTATCTTTTCACTTTTCGTTAAACCCCCTTTACTAATTATCTTATGAGGATTCAATTATTATTTTAGCTCGGCTCCTGATTTATTTAGGTTATTTGATTGATGTGACTGTTTAATTTCATTATTAGTTATATTACTTGTTTATCCCTCTATTATTGGTTATTGTTATTGTGGTTGCTGTATGATGATGCTGAATAAAAAATTATTATCATTCACCTTATTATTATTATCATTCTCCTTATTATTATCATTCTCCTTATTATTATCATTTTTCTTATTATTATTATCATTATTATTATTATCATTATTATTATTATTATCATTATTATTATTTTAATCAGCATCATTCTTCTTTTCATTATTATTTAAAATTTCTTCGTTTTTAACTATTAAACGATCCTCAGTTTCTTATAATTAATTATATAAATCCATATACATTTCACTTTCATTCAAAATAGAATTTATACAACAACTTCCCATAGCTGGGGATTAATTAAGTCAAATAAATTATTATATTTCAATACTAATAGCTATAAATTAATATAAATGTAATTCTATTAGCGAATATTCATATAAAATTTTTTATTTCAAAAAACATTTATATATATATTTGTTAAAATACATTTCTTTTTCTGTGGCAAACTTTTCTCTAAATAATTTATCAAAAGGTTAGAGGATTTATTTTCTAATTTTGATAGCTTTTGTTTTTTGTTTATAAGAAATACATTTTTAATTGATAATATATAATTTTCTTTTTTTAGACAGGAACTTAATTTTTATCACTTGTTATTAATTATTTTTTTGCTCCTTCTTTACTCTTTATCTGATCTTCTAAACTATTATTTGCATTCCTCTTATATATCATTAATATTTATGCAATTTAATATTTAAGAAAGTATTTGTTATCGTTTAGTTCTATCATAAAATCTTTAGATGATCAAAAAAAGCTTCTAAAACTTCTAAAAAATAAAATTTTTTCTTTACTAATGCATCTAGATGATATAAGCAACAATTTCTATCAAAAATTTTATTAATTTTATCAGAATAATAAGGAAAAGATAAATAGTAAAAATAAAAAAAGGAATCACTAAAAATACTCCTGAATAACTTTAAAATTCTAAATTATAATGAATTATCAACTATTATGAAAAGAGAATAAATAAATGTAGATAAATTCTAAAAAAGAAATAGTAATTAATCTATAATAATGAAAATAATTTATTAGGAACTTAAATGAAACAAGATACTTTCAATTTATGAGAAGAGTTTCTAGAATAATTATCAGAACAACCTATAATCTTAAAAAAAATATAAATTTTTATATGTAAAATTAATAATACTTTCTGTTAACTCCTTCTACTCATTGTACTGCAAGTCCTTTATAGAGAGAGCATTCTTAAAAAGCTTTTTAGAAAGTATATGATATTTGTCTTATCTTTTAAGTAAAGCTATATATATCCAGACAATTAAAGTGAAGGAAATGGAATTAAAGTAATAAAAGCTGATAAAAAAAAGGAAAGTGCTATTACTATTTATCCAGACTCTTAAAATTCTATTAAATATTAGAATTCTTCTCATGATGAACTAAATAACATCTATGAAAACTTGAAGTTTCTAACCTAATAATGTGAACAAAAATCAAATGAATTAAATGTTTTAAATTAAAGACTTTAAGATTTTGAGAACAAATGGAATTAATTATAATAAAAAAACTTAGAGTACATAATTATCTATTATAAAAGTTTAGAAGAAGAATTGAGAAAATAGAAATAAATAAGTTTATAAATGGAAAATTTTAGTAAAGAATTAGAAAAAAAGCTTTAGGTATCAATTACAACAACAGAAATTCATTGTTCTATTGAAAACTTATAAATTATCATTAGATAAAAGGAAAACTAAATATAAGAATTATAATAATTATTAGAAATAGAAACAGAAAAAGTTTCTATGGAATCAGATAGATTAATTAAGGAATTCAAAGTAATTTTTGAGGAACAGAAAAGATTGAATTAGAAATTACTTTAAGAAAACATATAATTACAGAAAGAAATTAAGAAAATTGCAAAAAAATAAAAACCTAAGTTATTGGATGAATAATAACTAAGATAAATTGTGAGTAATTATTATTTGGATAATAATGAAGAGTGTTTACTTAAAATACCAGATAATTAATATTTAAAAGCTATAAAAATATTAAGAGAAACTTCATATTAGTTGAATACTAATAATATATAATAAAACTAAATGGAATAAAAGTAAGAAAATGAAGAGGAGAAGACAATAAAATAATTAAATTTGAAAGAACTTAAAGATAAGTAATAACAATTAATAACAGAGATAAAAAATTAGATGGGAAAGTTTATTGATTAGAAAGTATAAAAAAATATGAAATAATTTAGGAACATTAATAAGACGATATTTCTTAATTTTAATATGAGGTTGATGAATTAAAAAAAGAGTTGGAATAAGTAGAGAATGTAATTTAAGAAATTCAATAGAATTAATATATAACATCTCACAAATATAATGTTTCTTTTGAGAATACTGATTTTAATTGATATGATATTTTATTTATATTAATAATATAAATCATTCAATTAATTTAAGATTATTTTGAAAAAGGGAGAAAGTTGATAATAATAATAAAATTAAAAATATATTAAACGAATTTCCTTAATATGAAATTAATCAAACATAGAAAAAAAGATTAAATTTATAGATAAGAATTTTTTAAATACGAAGTTTGCTTATCTTTTAGAATATAATGCAGATTGTTCATAAATAGAATTGTAAAATAATTGTGTATAAGAAAGATATTATTAGTATAATAAGTAATACAATAATTTTACAACTTGTGAAGGAATTTATTGATACAAAAATATATTGTCCCTTGGTATAAATTTGTTTTCCTATGGAATATTAAGAAATTGTTCATAAATAAAAGACCCAGTATATATGAAATGATTATAATTTGTCATATTGAAAATGTATGATGAATAGAATTAACTTTATCATTTTATAATATTGTATATAATTATGGTCTAATTAAACACAATTATGTTTAATAAGAGATTGCTATTTTGATTCACTTTCTTCTTCATATTAAGATATGAAATTTTCTAGACATTAATTATAATCTTAATGTTAATATGGAGTACAACAATAGATCCTTATTTAAATAATGTTATTCGGTGTTAATGGTTAAGTTTAAGTGGAATGTGTTAAAATGGAAATCCTGATGAATATACTGCTAGTTGATGTTATATTTATTGTGCAAGAACTTATCATAGAAGTAGTAGTAAATCTAATATAAGATAATGGCTAGTATGTTAGAGCTAAATGTTATCAATAATTATTGGATTTATAATGACAATAATTAAATTATAAATTATATATCATTATTCTTTTACATCTAAATTTGAAAAGTTAAAATTAAAATGATATTTATTATTAAATGATTTTTATTTGATGATGATCTAAGATTTAATTCAATCTTAATATATAAATAAATATTATAACAAGATATTAGATGAAAAAGAATTCTGAAAATAAATAATTTATTTCTATAGAAAAATGTATAATTAAAGAGAGAACATATTTATAAATTTTTAAATATAATATGTTAAACGAATTAATCCAGCTATTTTGTAGCAATGGTACTCATTCTAGTGAATTGTATTATAATGCTACATTACAATTAAATGAGTTTTTAGATAAGAGAGAGATAGTAAGATGCTTTCCAAGAGTGTCAGAAAACCTTGGAGATCAATTGGTATAGGATATTAATTGATTATTTATAGCCAAATCTAAGGAAAGCTTCTCATTAGCTTTTTCAAGCATATATTAGAGTAAATGAAAGCTTTGATGCAGTACTTTAAGCCATGCTTAGTAAAGGCCTTGTTCATCCAAATGTAAGAATGCTTTTGCTATATAATATAAGTGGCTAGTTAGATAGAAGAATATTAATTCCTTATAGTCCCTATTTTTATCGGAAGGATAGCATTTAGAAACTGGTAGTATAGTAGTTAAGAATATGGTTGAAATATTGTTAGGGAAGTTGTGCGATTCTAACATTGCAGTTTCTAAGGCTACAGAATAAGTATTTATATCATAATATTTATTAGACATTAATATCTTTAATAACTTTGAATTCTTATAAGTAATGTCATGCTTAATTACCTTTTGGAGTACAATCTTAAATTGAACATTTTGCAGAATAAATGAAGCAATCCAATTAGATTAGACATGATTTAAGATTAAGAGAACCAGCATCTAATGGATTGCCATTTGATAAATTAGAAGACTTAAAAGATACTTAATGGTAGATGAGAGCTGAAGCTATTTAATCAATTTATGAAGAACTATAAGATATAGTCTTAACTCCATTATAAGTAGAGGTCTTGTTTGAGCATATTGTTAATTTAGTTAATGATCATAACTTTAATATAGTGTTAACTACTTTATAGATAATGCAAAAATGCTTATAGTTCAATATAGTGAAGAGTAGCAACATAGTTAATATATACACTAAGCTAGGGGATTCAAAATCAGCAATAAGAACAGCAGTGAGATAAGTGTTAGTGATGTATTTGTAAAAGATTGGTGATGGAGAATTGCTAATTGAAATATTGTAATGGCCAAATAAGAATTAATTTTACAGAGAGGAATTGTTAGATTTATTGATGGATTTGGTGCAGAGAAATAAGATGCTGGTAACCTGATTGTTCAATATGCAGCTTTAATAATACCTCGAGTCGGCCATAAAAGAAGTGGCTCCTTTCCTCGAGGACCAGAAATAGAAACTACGTTCTAAAGCCATTGAAACCCTAAGTCAGTTGTCCACAATAAATTAAGCCTTGACCAAGCGAGTGTTCTCATAAATAGGTATAACAGAAGATCTTTTTAATTAAATTGATGTAAGTACAGCTTCATCAAATAAATCTGAGTTCCCTTAATTAAGATTTAAGAAGGAATAGAGAGAATAGAGAGAATAGAGAGAATAAAGGGAATAGAGAGAATAGAGGGAATAAAGGGAATAGAGAGAATAAAGGGAATAGAGAGAATAGAGAGAATAATAATAATAATAATAATAATAATATACATAATCTTTACCAGAACCAAAAAATTAATAATAATTTGATATACCAATATTTGAATCTTAATAATAAGGATATGTTCCAACAATAATTTCATAACCTTAAAAATAATAAAGAAGTGCCTAAAAACCAGAATCACATCCTTAATCTTCTAGTGTAGAATTTAGACATGTTTAATAATAATAAGAATATAACTAACCTCCAGCAACTTAATAAAGTAAACCATTTCGAATAGTTAAAAATCCATAATAAGATATTCCAGATCAAGATACTGGTCTCACTTATACTAAACCTTTCTAAAGAAAACCAAAAGGTGAAGCTGATAAAACATTTTAACCCATTTATTTAGATTCTGTTACCCCATTAGATTAACCAGAATAAATACTAAAAACTTTATTAAATGAATTAAGATATGATGATTGGAATAGATAATTTGAAGCACTTAATAATCTCAGAAGATTAGCTAAACATAATACTGAATTACTTAAAAAATATATCAATTTTCCATAAATCTTATAAGAAATGGTTAAATAAATTGAAAATCTAAGAAGTGGAGTTTCTAAAAATGCCTTGATATCTCTATAAGAACTTAGTGATATTTATAAAAAAGATTTGGATTGTGTACTGGATTAAGCATTACAAAAACTAATTAAAAAAGCTATCGATCTTAATACTTTTATTAGTGAAGAAGTCAGAAAAGCAACTATCTCTTTGTTGTAAAATTGTACTGAATCTAAATCTATTTCACTCATTTCTTAAGTTTATTAAAGTAAATCAATTGCAGTTAAAGTTAACATTTGTTATGCATTAAATAACTTAATAGATCCCAATAAATTATCTTTCGAAAAAATGCTATAAATTCTCTGTCTTTATGCTTGTGATTAAGGTTAAGAGGTTAGATAACTGGCAAAAGAAGGATTATTAAGTTTAATCAACTTAATAGATAAAAGAGAATTAGAATCATTGGTTATTAAATTAGCTCCTGATGGAGAATGTAAACGTATTATGACAATTCTTAATGGTGAATCTACTACAACTTCAGAATTTAGAAAGTTTGGTGGTTCTACATTAACAAAAGAAGCAAGAACACCAGAATTAAGAAATAGAACACCAAATGCTAAAAAATTATCAGCAGATTTTGAATAGATGCCAAATTATATGAATCAAGCAGAATTAGCCAAAGATTGGAAATAAAAGAAAGAATCAATCGATTGGTTATGTAATTTTGCAAAAAAAGAAGCCTAAGCTTTAAATGGTCATAAATATTCAAATAAATTTTTGGATTTACTTTGTAAATTAATTGATGATGGAAATAAAAACATTGCTTTATATACATGTGAATAATTCATTTAATTAGTTGAACCACTAAAAGTATAATATATATGTAATATATAATTAGTTACCTATATAAAATAACTATGTAAATATATGGAATGGCGTATTCAAAGTAGTTTCATCAACAAATAATTAAGTACGATAATCAGCTGAATCATTATTTCATGAACTTATGATACATATTGATATTCAATACTCTTTACCTTAAATATAACATCTAATTTTGTATGGTCCAGCCAAATCTAAAGGCATTGCCATAACAATGTTAGCAAGTATATCTTAATATTAATTAATAAATAGATTTTGTATAATAATTTTATGATGAGCGACCTTAATTAGTAGTGAAATATCTTGTGCCTTTAGCTAAAAAGTTACAAGAAGAATAGAAACCAGATATAAAAATAGCTTCTTAGAAATTATTTTAGGCATTGGTTTCTATATGTCCAAACGATGTTGCTCATTTGAAGTTATTAAAATGAATATTTTATTATTTATTATTATTTTAGTTAATTTTACTCATCATTTTTATTCATCAAATAATTAACTTATTACTAAATCCATAATTTACTAAAGTTTTCAGAATTTGAAGAATCATTACAGATTTATTGTCTAAAAATTATTCATCTTTTAAGTTATCTTTTTTCTAAACTCCTTAATACAACTTTAATGTTATATCTATTTCCTAATACTATAACCAAAACATAACTCTTCTTCCTTCTTTTTTATTTATTATCCTCTTTATTGATTGTCAAACAATTAATATTGCTATTATTACTTAATATTTTTTTATTTCTAATATGTTTGATAGAACTTTAAAATTATCTGTTATCGATTTCCATTTTAATTTAAACATCAATTTAAACTATATCCCTTAATAAGCTAAATAATTGATATTCAAATTATTTTTAGAATTTAGATCAGCTTTAGATTTATAACTTGAAAGAATTATGAAATCCCTTTATTAAATAACATCCTATTAAGTTTTTTCTATTTTTCTGTAATTTTTAATAATGGTCAATAAATTTGATTTGAAATATTTGATCATTTGAATGCATGATGATTAAAATTTATGATTTCCAATATTTTGATTTATTTGTAAATAATAAATCTTATTTTTTGCTCATATTATGCTATTAGATTTGTCAAAGTTACTTTGTAAATAATGAAGTTGATTGTAAATAATTTCTACAATTGAATTATATTATATTAATATTTCATATATTTAGAGAAACGGATAATGAGAACATTTATGTTATTAGGATTGCTTTCCATCAGTTTTGCAGTGAGTATTACTAATTAAGGCACTTTAACTAATCCAACATCAAGAGTGGAAAGAATAGTAAGCAAATTTATGCAATTAAGTGAAATGAGTACACAATTTAACTTTAATAAACTATTCGATGCAATTGACTAATTAAGTGCTTAATTGAAAGTAATTTAATGTATTTAATGATAATAGCAATCAGAAGTAGACGAGAACAATCTATTTGATGCTGATTTTGCTTAATATGTTGAAGATTAAGCATTTTATACAGATTTAGTCACCTTCTATAGTGCAGAAGTTGCTTAACATTCTGAAGATCTTAGATCATTGAATAATCATCTTGAATCATATTAATAATAATTAGCATAAAGACAAGAAGAATTAGATAGAACACAAAAATAAAAAGCTTAATTAGAAGAAACTATTAGATAAAATGAAATCACTTATAATAAATAAATTAGTGATTTTAATACTGCTATAGATGTTTTAGATTAAGCTATTTAATTACTTTCTGGTTTGAGAAGTAATATTAAATATTATAAATTATTAGACCCTGTCTTAATTTAAACTGAGTCAGATTAATTGAAAACCTTAGCTAGTAAATTGAATGCCATTAATCTTAAAAACCACAGAGTTTTATATTAACCCATAATTGATATCTTTATGTAAATTGCATAAAATAAGTACATATATTAAATCCAATTAGTTTGGCAAATTAAGATTTACTCAAAAAGGTACTTAATATGTTAAATGGACTCAGAAACTCATTAGATGGAGGTAGAAATGCATTAACTAGCAATTATAATAGTGAAAGAGCTTCTAATTTAGAATTATTAGAATCATATAATAAAAAAATTGATGCTCTTGTTAATGAAGTAATTCCTATGTTATAAGATTTAATTGCCAATACTATTGGTATATATATAATTAATGATTCTAGAATAAATTAAGGTTAAAACTGAATTATTGAACAATGCCTAAGCCAACCTTGATGAAGCAAAAGAAACATTATAATTTATTGAAGATAGATGGGTTAAAAGAAAGGCTTAACATGCAGCATTACTAGCTGAATATGAGAAAGAATAAGCACTTATAGCTTAGACGATAACTGTATTGCAAAGAGGTGGTGTAAGAAGATAATGATTTAAATTTTATTTTATTTCACATCGGAGGCATATTCATTCCTGCAGGCATCATAGTTTATTACCCAGGTAATCCCATTCCTTTAGGTTATGAAATTAATCCAATATTTGGTGCTCCTGTCACTCCTTATCTTGTTATTGGTTAAGCTTTTCCTGGTCCTGGTTATAATTCTTATTTCTTTGGAGGTTAATGTGGAGGTGCTTCAGCTGATAATGATATAATATTATCGCCTCTTACTATTATCATTCCTAAAGTTCTTTTTGTTTCGATTTCATGGATACCTTTCATAAAAATAACTTCTACCTTGCTTTCTTATTCTGTATTCTTCACATTCACTAAGAATCACATTCAAATGTTTATCAAAAGCTAAAAAAGTTCCAACTAACATACGTCCATCACCTAAAGTTATTCGAACTCTGTAATCAATCCATTAAAAAAACTTACTTTTCTAAGACATATTTTTATATATTATTATATAAATATATATATTCAATAAATACATAAATATACTATATAAGTAAAATCATCGCTTAAAACAAAAATTTCTTATCTCTTAAAATGCATATCTATCTGCTTCCTAAAACATTTATTATACAGTTTATTATGCAGTTTTTTTAACATTCGGAGTACATTAATTTTATGAATTTTCCTTATAATTTATAGTCTAAACTCCTATTGAATTTGTTTATTTTGGTTTTGGTATCTAACTTATTAAAAACATCATTCCTGCATTTATCTATTCCAACATCTCTTAATCCTTTTCTCTTTAATTAAATAAATAATCCATTTTCTATTTTAGCTCAGACTAAAATTGATCGATTCAGTTACCAATTCATTTGTATCTTATATCTATTGCTATTAAGTTATTTTCAATTACGATGTTCCTTTATCAGTTCTAACTATAAAATCACTCAAATTTTCAGATATACTAGAATTCTTTGATTATTATTCTCTTTGTAAACTAAATTCATTTGAATTAACAAAATTATTTAATTATGGTTTCTCTTTTTATGTTTCCTTTAACTCATTCCAATTATCACCATCATTAGTTCTATTAGTTTTCATTAAAACATTATTTGTTCTATTAGTCTTTACTATACTAATTTTCATCATCAATTACTTTTCTGTTACAATGCAGAAATCAAATTGATTATCTAATCTTCATTATAATTATCTTATTCCTCATCTGAATTCATTTAATTGTCGTTAAAAAATATAAATTAAATTTATAAATTATGTATTCATAATTCATTAAAATTTATATCCAAATTATTTCTAATCCTATATTTTGATAAAATAATCCACTCTTAGTCTATAATCTCTTTATACACTTTATAAATCCCCTATTCTTAATTTTATTTTTTAAGTCCTTTTGTTTGAATAATCAGTATAACCTTTCATTTTTATCATTCATTAATTGAATTCATTCATCTTCTCTAAAGAACCTATTTTTACTGATTTACTCTAATAATCAACTAAAATTAATCTTTAATTTAACAATCCATTTAAAATATATTTTCTCATTTAATTCTTTTGTTCTTGATCTTTAAATTATTCAATTAACTTAAAATTATTATTTTCCTTATTTTATCATTCATTCTTATTTTATGTTTAAAAATATCATTTAAATTTATATTATATCTCTAAATTTTTGAGGATTATTAAAATCTATTCAATGATGTAACTAAAATTTGCATTACTATAGAAAAAATAATTTAGTTTAGAATATTTGAAAGTTAAGAAGAGATTAAATTTGAAGAAATTCATAAAGAAAAAATTAAGTAAATTTGTTTATCAACTGAAGAATAATATCTTGTCTCTTGTAGCATTGATAATAATATTATTATTTGGAATGTTAAAAATAGATAAGCAATTTACTTTATAAAAGATTAAATTTGCGTTGATTTATTATTTGAATCATATATAGTATTCATACTTTAAACTTAAAAGTCGATAATTTTTTATGAAATCAATATAGATTGTAATACTTTAAAAATTATTAAATATTTTGAATTAGAATAAAGTATTGATAATTAAAATTTACAATATACAATGAGTTTATTAGGCAAGAATAGATTTTAATATTTGGTAATAAAGAGTAGATAGAATATGGTAATGAAACACCTTATTTATAGAGGTTAAATTAAAGTTTATAATTAATTTGAACTTTCTTCTGATGAGATAATTTTATTAACGAAGATTTTTTGATATAAAAAACAACATAAAATTCTTTAAAAATTATAGATTTAAATAATATGGAATAATAATTAGAAATAAAATATAATATTTTTACAATACAAGAAATAATACAAAAGAATTTTAGAGCTCCCCTAATTGCAATTGAAACTAATTAAATAATTAAAATTTTTCAATTGGTGAAAAACAATAATTAAATTCATCAAATTCATCTTAAAACTTGTGATGGTGAGATTATGGCATAAGATAATGAAACCAATTTAGCATTTTCTTATAATTGTTTTTATTTTGCATATTCTAATAAATAATCCATAAACATTTACTAAATCACAAGCCCGTAAATTGTTAAATTAGCAACTATAAATATTGATTTTGAAGTTAAAAAGATTGAATTAGCTGAAACTGGGATGATTTGCATTTTAAGTTAGGGTCGCCTTATTCTTTATAATCTTTTTTAAATACATAAAATTACGAATAGCATTGAAATATAAGAAAATAAATTCAAAAAAAAATTTAAATCCCTTAAATTAAACTATAATGACAAATTGTTAGCTCTTTAATCTGAAAATATGATTGATTTTTAAGATCTTTCTGAGATTGATTCTAATAATGCTTATAAAGGTAGTTTAAAAGCAGATATGTTTTCCACTTCAATAGACAATAAAACATTTGCAATACTTAATGGAACAACAATAGAATTTTATGATTTTGATTTGAAAAAAAATTTAAAGCCTTCACATATATTAGAAATTGAAAATGAATAAAATTTATTAAAGATATAGTTTATAGAGGATCCTAATTCAATCTTAGTTATTTATCCTGATAATATTCAAATTTGGAATCATAAATCTAAAAAAAAAGAAATGTCTATTGAAGGTTTTTATGACTATAGAACATAAGTATCAATAAATACAGATGTAGCAGTGATTGAATAATCAGAATTAAAAATTTAAATTAATAAAAATGTAAAATCAAGAAATACTAATTAATAAAAATAAATATTGCCTAATAAGGATGAATATAGATTCTATGCGAACTGTCCACAATTTACATCAGACGGTTAAAATATAGTATTTTAGAAAATAAGTGTAGGAATTATGTTTCAAAGTTTATAAGATCCAAAGTTAAAATATACTTATAAATTATGTAATGGATAATAATTTCGGAAATTTTTACCCTAGAGTAATTTATTAATAACTAACGATAGAAATTTTTATTATTTTTGGGATGCTTCTATATTGGACAATATAAATTTACTTCATAAAACTCTAAATAGAAATCACCAAATTTTCTTTTTTAAGTAATTACTAATATTTAGACAGAATTTTATTAGGGTTTGGTGTATTTAAAACCTTAAAGATATTATAAATAATAGTTATGACAATATACTTGATACAGGAAGTTTTGGTATTGGATATGTCCTAATGAAACTAAATATTATAAAATAAATAATAATAAGATCTCAATATGGAATTTAAAAGAAAGAGCAAGATCTTCAGAGGAGGACTTCATAGGGCATATTGGAAATATTAAGATAGTTAACTTTACCTAAGATGAAAAATATATGGTATCTATAGATCAGAGTGGTTTAATAATAGTATGGAATATGTTGAACCATTAAAATATTAAGATCTCTCATGGAGTTATAGATTTCAAAGAAGACTATAGTTGTAACTTTGTGAAAATATAGGATTCTTTAGGAATAACATGTGAGATTTAAAATGAAATTGTGATTTTTGATCTCAAGGACTTCAAAAGCTATGAAATATATCACATAATTCCTAAATAATATAATATTATTAGATACTATGTTTTTTCAAAAGGTAATAAATTAGCCATTCTTTAGAAAAATGAAGCTGAAAATAAAAGGATTTAAATAAGTATTTTTAAGGTTGATACTAAGGAAATAATTGAAAATATTAATATATCAGATCTTTAGATGTTCATTTGCTGATAGTGAAGAATATTTCATAAAGGATATTGAAAAGGAATACAGAAAAGATGTTATTACACAAGAATACATAAAATATGGTATTACACTAGATACTAATCGTTTTTGGATGTATAATGTTAATTTGGAGCTTTTAGAGATACATAATTTTAACAGTTCAAGTGGCGCTCCGCCAATTTATAAAATTTATGTTCCTTTTGATTTTTTTAGAGGTAATATAATCAGTGTAGGAAACAAATATTTAACTTATTGCTATTACGACTAATTTAGAATTATTGATTTAGAACTTTATAAATAATAAGTCTATGTTTTTGTTTTGGACAAAGACTTACGCTTATATGGTTAGTTGCCAGATGACACTTTAATCTTATTGAAAGTAGATAATTAACATTGGTATCCCAAATCTTATCACTTATTTAACTATAAAAGTGATTAGCAGCAAATTTAAACATTATTTGAAAAAGATTGTAATAGATTTATTTTAGCTTTTTCAAATGATGGTTAATAGTGTGCTTAAGGTTGGGACGATGGGGATATAATAATTTTTAAGGTATAAAATGATAAAAAATGGAGTAAATATGACTGTTGGAACAGTAAATAAATAAGAATAAAACATCTAAAATTTATTTAAAATGATGAAATTTTAATTAGTTCTTAAGATAATGAATTATCTTTTTGGAATATGAAGAAAGAAACAATATAAGAAAGAAGATTAATTTAATAGATTAAAATAGATTTTGATATTGAAAATATAGTTGTTTCTCCTAATGGATATATTTCATTATAATTAAAAGGTGGAATTATATTAATTCTAACTAATGATCAGTCAAAGTGTAATATTGAGAATGAAAATTACAAAAAACAAGTAATATATAATATTAATATAGTATTTCGGTTGTTATAGATCTTTTCCAAAATTAGAATAAATATAGACAAAAAATTGCATTATATAAAACTCAATTATTGAAAATTAGGATGATGAATCAATATTACATCTTTTTTCTAATTAAGAAATGAAAGAATTTGAATCGGGTTTCAATAATGAAGAGACTTAAGAATGAAAATCAAAATTTATTAAAATTATCATCATATACATAACTTAAAATCTAAAAATTCAAAATATTTCATAAATTATATGAAATATTATGATTATTTAACAATATGATTGAGAAAATGAATAATATTTTATTTGTTATTATTTATTTGTTTGATAGTTTTGTTAGACTAAATAATTTAAGTAGAAATAAGTAATAGGATAGGTAAAAAAAAGAAATAAATGATTAATAATGTATCAATCTAACAATTCAATATTCTTAACAGCATTAACAATAATTTGCTTAGAGATTTCAATGATTTCTCCACCAACAATCATCTCATCAAAGATAGAATAAGCCTGTAATTATGATCGTTGTTACTTTATTGAGATTGAAAACTATATCTTATTAACCGACATTTCCAAAGTATTTATCAAGTACTTCAACATAAAGATGTATAAACTCAAGCATGGTTAATTCATTATCTAATACATCGACTCATAATGCAAAAAATAATCCTGTCCTGCATACGTTGTCTATTTTAAAGTAACATAAATCTGATCTAGTAATAAATTAAATAATAGTACCATTAAGAAATTTGATGAATTTTAATTAATTAATAAATATATATTATTAATTAATTTATAATAAGAGTCATTTTGTAATCCAAGGATGATTTAATATTTAAATTATTGAAGGTCTCTTATTGCAATCATGCTAGAGAATTCCTTTAACAAAATTTTGAAAATCTTTACTAGACCAATTAGGAAATTAAAATATTAAATTAATAATTTTCTTTTTAGTATCTTATTCATTATAAGATTCAAATGGTGGTCTGCCTAATTAATAATATAAAATGATATAATAATACCTACTACTAATTCATAAGCTAAAACACCAATAGTCCATACATCTACTCTATTATCATGAGATTAATAATTAATCATTTCAGGACATAAATAATCTAATGTTCCACATAAAGTCTTTCTTTTATTAGATGGTGTATGAACACTCCATCCAAAATCAGATATTTTAAAGATATCATTATTAAAACATAGAATATTTTCTGGTTTTAAATCTCTATGTATAACATTCATTGAATGCATGTATCCAATAGCCATAGTTATTTACTTAATAATATTTGATGCCATATCTTCATTAAATCTTCTATTTGGTTATTTCTTCATTAAACCATAAAGATCACCTAATGGAGCCCATTCTAACATTAAATATACTCTTTTTTCTGTCTAAAAAAAACCATAAAACCCAATAATATTTGGATGTTTTAAATGGCTAAGAATTTCTACTTCTCTAGTTAATGAACTCATCAATTAACATAAATTTAGTTATCTCTTACTTATTACTTTAAGTGCTAATATAAATTTGTTTTCACGCTCCCTAATTGGATATAAATTTTATTTTATACCTCGCTAAATATACATGTCCAAATTTACCATTACCTAAATAACGACCCATTTCAAATCTACTTAAACTCCATTAACTTGGATCAAATTCTTTTGTCTACTCTATATTCATGTCTTCCTCTTCACTATAATTATTTCGCGTCTCTTCATCTATTTACTCATCTACTGCCTTCTTCTTCTATAAACAATCATAACCTCTCGTATTTTCATAACTATTTGTTATATTTGACAGCACAGAATTTGCATTTTGCCACATAAAATTAATTTAACAGCAAAATTATAAATATATATTAATTAAGTATCAAAATCTCAACCTGCCTGATATTAACCCAACCATTTTACTCTTTTTCCATTTAACCATTCACCTTCTCTACATAATCCACTTTTTGAATAAAATGTACCATTACCATGTTCCCTACCTTCATACCAATTTCCTTTATACATACATCCATCTTTATAAGTAAAATCTCCAAATCCGTGTTTCTTATCCTTTACATACTAAAATTAAATACATATTCTTTACATATCCATCATATTACCTTCCATCAGGCCATGTAAATGTACCATAACCATCCATTTAATTATTTTTCCATTAGCCTTCATATTTACGACCATCACAAAAGTTAAATACCCCTTTACCATTAAACTTATTTTCTATAATTTAACCTACATAACTATTAATACATATTCAAATAAACCTTGATCCATCTTAGAAATGAAATTCTCCATAACCGCTTTTCTTACCATCAATAAACTTTCCTTTAAAATTAGTCCCATCTGGATATTTCTCAATTCCTTCTCCTTATTATTTATCATTAACCCATTCTCCTTCATACATATAACCCATAGTTGTTACTTGTTTCCCTTTACCATTTGCCATATTCCTTAGAAATTCACCTTCATAATAATCTCCAGTTCCTAAAATTAATCTTCCAAATCCCCACATTTAATCTTCCTTCCAAAATCCTTCATAAATACTCTTATCAGGAAAGATTGCTCTACCTTTACAATGACGCTATCCCATTCTCCATTATCCAACATATATACTACCATCTTAGAGTTAATAAGGTTCAAGATGAGCTAAACAATATTCCTCCTCTGTATAATTCAATTGTTTTGCATATTCCTTGTAATTAAAATTACCAATTTTATAAATGAGGGTATTTATTATTGTTGAATATTCAGCCAATTTACGATCTACTTTAATTGCATTTTATGGAGCGTGATCAATCTAGCATGATTATTGAAAATACTATTTATTCTGTTACTTCTATAGGTTTATCTATAGCTATAGCCATTTAAGCAGGAGGTTCATTATTATGCTAACTATCTATTGTGATAATTAAGCGATTCTATTATTCTTCTTTTTTACGTTTCCATTCTAGAGATTTAATACTTTCAAAGGAATACTTCGATAGGCTCTCTATATTATAATTGCATTGCGAGAGTAATAAGTTAAGGTAGAAAATTCAAATAGACTCACCATTTGTGGTCCCGATGCACCACAACAAGTTCCCATTTTTTATTAATATAAATAATTGCATATACAATTATAATTCCAATACTATATTATTGTTATTTTTGTTTATTAGAAAAATCCAAATTGAGAAAACAGAATTCTAATGAAGTATAATAAGTTAAAAATTAAAATATATAAAAAATATAAATTTTTAATGTAGAATAATTAAGGTAGTTAAGGTGGATGTTAAGTAAATGGCAATGATGATTAAAGATTTGAACAATTGGAAAGTAAGTAATTTAATTTGACTAAGTAGTAAAACCGATAAAAAATTTAGCAAAATTTAGTTAATTGTAATAATTGTGGAAAGAATCTGACATACCTATTTGTCATTAAAAGTACTTCTATAATATTTTATTGGTACATCAGTAATAAGCAGAAAAATTAGTGACAGCTGAAATAGATAGCATTAGGAATAATAAAAGTGTAGTTAGAACTTTACATCAGCTGACAATAGGAAGAGAGAGATGTCTAAAGGAGATATCAAGATTAAGCAGAGGAAACTTTTCTGATTTTTTGAAAAAAATTTCAAAATTTATTTACGATCTAAGGAAACTTACATTAAATTTTATGGAATTTCATCGTAAATGGAGAAATGGTTTGAATTAAAAATATGAGTGGAATTACATTTGGAGAATAAAAGATCGTGATTATTTGCATTAAATAAAGGAGGATCATAAATTTATATACAAACATCATTCAAAGACAATGTAATATTTTTAATTAGAAGATGATGATATATTTTATTTAAGTGTAGTGAAATAAGCATAAAAGGATGATCAATAATAAGAGTATTTGATTCAACATAAGATGGAGTAGAAATACATAGAAAAGATGATTGAATTATAGGAATATTTTAATACAAAGATGGGTGATTATAAGCCTGTAAAGATAGGATAGTAGTATAATTAAAACAGTGAAATAAATCCTGTAGGTTCTCCAGGTTTTGAAGAGAGAAACAATATAAATATGTAAGACTATGTAAGTGAAGTTATATATAATACAAAAGAGTTATAGTTCAATTTGGTAAAATATTCATTTAAGGATTTATTTGGAATATTGAAAAATTGGTCTTCTTAGAATGTTTAAGAATTGAATGATAGTTTTAAATATCCAATGGATCATATAAAAGATTTATTGATGTATTGGCAAGAAGCTGCAGTGTTGAGAATAGATAATAATGGATTGATAATATGTTCAATAGATTAGGAATTTAGTGGAAGAAGATGGATTTTACATTAAATATATTTAAATAAAGATCCAAAGTGGTAATAGAGATTGGGTGTTGTAATTTAACATTTTATAAAGATGCTAATATAGAAAGGAGATCCATTTACATCAGTTGCAATATGTTGTAGTAATGATTAATACATGAAGAAAGTATTAGGTGATTTGAAATTTACATTCTCTAAAAACATAACATATAATAAATTTAATGTTGTAATTTATGAATAAAAAGTTTAAAACATACAATCAAATTTTATGAGATAGTATTTCACTCCTTTAACTTTGAGAATGCTTAGAATTTATGCAAAATAATTAGAAAGTACTTTAATAACAAATGAAGAATTAATGATTGCTTAATATTGTTCAAATATAGGAAAAAATGATATGATGAAATTTGAATAAAATATTTTAGATTTATCTCAGAATTTAAATGTAATTAATTAATTAATATACTATCTTAGAAATCCAAACTTTATGGATAAGAGTATATGTTATTTAAGAAACCTAATGATGTTAAAACTAAATATTAAATTGAATTCAGTACTCCTATTCAATCTCAAATGTATTTTTAATAGTTTAATGTGAAATTGAATTTTAAATACTTTAGTAGTGAATTCTGTAGGAATAACACTCAACCTTATTTACGACTTACTGCTGTAAATGAGATTTATATATTATTTAGCATCCAAATTTGAATGAATAAGAACCATCAATCCTTTAGTTGAGTTCCTCAGAAATTGGAAATGGTATTATTTATTTAATTTCTACAATTGATCCTATTATTAAAATGTATTATATAATAACTTATATTTAGATTTATTTAAGAAGTTCAACCTAATCAGATTTCAAAATCTAATATCTAATCCTTTATAAATTAAGCTTTCGAGAAATTCGATAAAAAATAAGAATGTTAACATCATATTTGGCTTCCTCAATTTAAATGTACTGGGAAATAGATGAAATTAAGTGATGCTAATATTGAAGCATACTTTTAAAATGACACTTATTTATCTGTTTAGTATCCTAGAAATCCATCTTTACATACTAACAAATACTTTAATGATACTGATAAAATAATCTAACCTCCTTTTCTTTTTGGAATTGTGTAAAGTGATCTTGAAAAAATTAATAAACCTCTTTTCTCTATTCTTATCAATAAAGAACATATTATTACAATATAAGAGAAGATTATTATTAATAACAATATATCTTTACCTAATTCCTTTTAAATGTAAACTCAAGAAACTGAATAAACCTTCAAAGAATTATTGTAAAACACTCCTTTAGAGATTAAAAAATCATTTTGTTCAAATCCTACTGTTCTTTTATACAAATTTAAGTATTCCCTTTAATGTTGTTTAATCAAATTTAATGTTGGTCATGCCCTTATTTATGTTGATGAAGTTCACTTCTTAGAAAAGAGATGGATCATTGAATCTATTATGATCAATGATCTAAATAATTTATCTCTGTTACTCTCAAATATAATTTAATATATTTTTACTATTGATCATTCTGCTAATGAAATACAAATTAGTTAGGTATAAAATGTATTCATAACATCTCTAGTCTCATTATTTAGAAAAAGGAGATCTTGTAGCAAATAAATTTATAATGGATTCCATTAAAAATGCTAAATTTAAATGGAGACAAGTAGATAATGATGCGAAAACCTAAATCAGAAAAACTATTTATTTTCTCAAAAGATCCATCTCAGAATAGTATCTCTATTATCTTATTTTTAATTAGTCCTAATTATATACCAAATCAAGTCTCTATATAATTTAGATCATATTATGCTACTTAATAAAGTGAAGAGAGGAATCAAATCATTAATCAATTAGAATATCTTCATTCTGAAAATGAATTTTAATTCTTTGAAGATTGCTTCTAATATCATGTTCATGGCTAAGTTCCTCAATCTAATACCTTCATCTACTAGAAATTACAATCAATTTAAGGCAAACTTCCTAATTCAGAATTCACAAGTGTTCATTCTTTAGAAGAACTTAAATCCTAAATCAAATTCTAAATTGATCTACCTCCTTTTGACTGTAAATATGAATAAGTATATAATAATACATCATACTATTTTAGTTTGATATACTCTACATGAATACATAATTAAAAATTAAAAAATAAAGATAACTCACCTACAAAGGCTAAACATATCTAGAAATACCAAACTATGATTCATGTTAATAGATATTTCAATCTGAAAATTATGAATTCAATTAAAAAATCTATTTCATTGCCACTTAAGATCCACTTTATTTTGCATATTTTATAGAATTAGGTAATCCCACCTTAAAATAATAAATTCAGTAGGATTAACTTAGAATAGCCTCTCAAGTTTCACAAGTATTTATCATATTTCATTAGGCATTCGTTACTAAGTATTTAAGTAGTTTTCAATTAATTTGGATAGAATAATTTTAGAAAATTAATCCAATAAAATAAAAACAGAATGTCTTATATATTGATTTTGCTTTGAATTCATAATTTTCAATTGAACAATTTATGAAAATGGAAGATGACCCTAAAAATTAAGAAGAAATCTATAAAATCAAGTTACCTATGTTTTGTGGACTGTTAAATACAAATATGAGAACACAATTTGAACGTCCATTAATAGGAATGATAATTGAATGATGATTAATCAATTTTTACTTAGAAATAAATAAACATCAGAATTACAATATGTGATTTAACTCAAATACATATAGTTATAATCTCTGATTTCATTTGTTGTTTCTATGTAAATATACAAATATAATGAAATTGAGATTGTTAGATCCTTTTGTTTATATGTTAAATAAATCGTTAAATTAAAATTCAAAAAATGAATGCACCTAAAGCCATTCCTTTCATAAAATATCTCAACAATCAATTTCAAGTAGATCCTCAAGCTGAATAATTTCTAACCTCCCTAGGCTCAGAGAAACTGGGAGTTGTTTCAATTGTAGGAAAATATAGAACCGGCAAAAGTTTCTTTGTCAATCGAGTTCTTCTGAATCAACAAGCAGGAGGCTTTTCAGTAGGTCCTACAATAAATCCTTGTACAAAGGGTTTATGGATCTGGAGTCAAACAATCACAGCATAAAATGCTGAATATCCAGACATGAAGGCCATTATTATAGACACTGAAGGTTTTGGAGGTATGGATGAGAATGTTAATCATGATACAAGGATATTTCTATTCAGTCTTCTTCTAAGTAGTTACTTTATATACAATTCTGTTGGTAACATAGATGAAAATGCTTTAAATACTTTGAATTTAATAGTCAATCTTGCAAAAGTAATTATTTTTGATAAATAATAAGGACATTTAATAAAATAATGAGAATACGTTTCCTTAATTTTTATGGATAGTTAGAGATTTTGCTCTTTAGATGGTAGATCAATAAGGGAATTCTATAAATCCAAAATAATATCTTGAAAATGCCTTAGAATTACAAAAGGGTTTGTCTGATTCAGTAGAATAGAAGAATCGAATAAGAAGGATGATAAAACATTTTTTTAGAGAACGCGATTGTATGACAATGGTAAGGCCAGTTGAGAGAGAAGATGATCTATAGAAATTGGATACTCTTCATGATAATAATTTAAGGGGTGAGTTTGTGTAACAATTGAAAGAAGCAAGATCGAAGATATTTAAAAGAGTAAGACCTAAGTCTGTATAGGGAAGCATGGTTAATGGAATTTAATTATTGTAATTAGCGAAGGCATATGTTGATTTGATTAATGGAGGTAAAGTTCCAAATGTTGAATCTGCATGGGGTTATGTATGTAAGGCAGAAGGAGAGAGAGCACTTAGAGAATGTTTGAATTTAGCTGAATAATAAATTGATAAGCTTAAAGTTTAAGTTATATAAGATTTACCTACTGTTAAATAACAATTACTTGATTAAGTTAAGAAGTAATTCAAATTGAAAGCCATTGGATCTGAAGAGGATCTAAAATAATTTACAGAAAAATTATCTGAATTATTTGAAGAAAAATTCAAAGAACTTAAATAGAGCAATAAAAGAAATCTAAAAGTAATGTTTTATATTTCATTATTTAGAATCATCAATCTAAAGTTTTGTAACCTCATATTGAAAATATTCTAGATAAATTAAAAAATGATGAATTCTCTAACTATTATGAATTATAATCAGAAATGTTTAAAATTAGAGATTTGTTTTAAAAAGAAGTAGGTAGAAATCAATAAGTTTCATAATTATTTGATGAAATGAGTTTATAGATATATTAGTAGGCAGCTGAAAAACTTACTAGAAAAGCTTCATAGTAAACTAATTAAGAGAATAAGTAATTGCAATATAAAGTACAGAATTTAGAGAAAGAATTAAAGGTTGTTTAAGATGAAAAACATCAATTAGAATTGTAAGCTAGTAGTAAATTAGAGAAACTTAGTAAAGAGAATGAATTATTATCCAAGAGTGAATTACAACTTAAAACACAATTCTTATAAATTTAATAATAAACATAATAGGTTCAATAGTAGAGTTAACATTAAATACAATAGCATGATAAATAATTAGCCTTAATTAGTTAAGAGAATGTTTTCCTTTAAAAAGAAATTTAAACACTGAATGAGAGATCTTCTCAATTAGATAATGAAAATAAAAAACTTAGATAAGAGTTAATAACATAAAAAGCTGCTAATGAATAGTTATAATAAAAGTGTCATTCTTTGGATTATGGAAGGGCTTAAGAAATATAAAAGTTGTAGTTAGAATTCGAAAAGAAAATACAAGAATTAAATAATGATATTGATTCAAAGAAATAAACAGTTAGATAGTAAAGTGAATGGATGGTAGAAAAATCTTATTTAGAAAATTAAGTTACATTCTTGAAAAGTTAGTTAGATGAAAACAAAAGATTACACGATGCTCTTTTGATTGCCTTATAATGTATCTATTCCTATCTTATTTCAAGCTTAAAATAATCCTTCTAATGATTATTAAGAGTCTACTCTTGAACTTTTAGAAACCAATAGAAATCTCTCAGCTGCCATGGATAAAATGGAAATGAGGTGCAAATAATTAGAAGAAAAAGTTACTAAACTTAAAAAATTCAAAAAAATATTCAAAAATAGTTCGAGTATTGTTTGCTTACATTGTAATAGACAATATCAAAGTAATGGATTTAGTTAACATTTATCAACATGTATTGATAATAATCCTTGTAATCCAATAGTTTAAGTTTAATAATAACATTAATAATCATAGTAATAAAATTAATCAAATCAATAAATACACAATTAATCTCTTAGTCACCCACTTCCACCTCCTATTGATTTAAGTTAATTATAAATATCTATTAATCAAACTATGGTTAGAGAAACTCCTGATAATAAACCTTATACTGAGTATATGATTAGAGTTCAATATAACCTAAAGAAATGGACAATTTCCAGAAGATACAAAAACTTTTGTGAATTACATTAAGCAATCATCTAATAATACCCTAATTTAAAGATGCCTGAATCAAGTTCAGCCATAATCAATACTGCTGATATAGGAAGTGTCTTTAATGCTAAAAGACCCACTGTTATTGAAGATAGAAGAAGAGCTTTACAATCCTACATTAGAGATTTAGCAAAATTAGATCCTGTTAGAAATTGTGCTGCTTATCGTAAATTCTTAGAATTAGACACTATAGATCAAGTTGAATAACCAAGTAGAAGTATGTCTTAAAGTAATCTATTAATGTCATTTAGTGGGATCACCTAAAAATGAAGGACTTTAATCTTCTAGAGATTATGGAAGAGATTCTCTATCAGTCATGCCTAAACCTTTCTGGAAATAATCAACCTAGTAAATTGCTATTGGTGCCTCTACTTCAAGAGAATAAAAATATGAGGAACTTCCATCATAAAACAATTATGTTAGATAGAAAGAAAATTAACCTACCTCTTCTGCTTCCAATTTAAATACTAAAATTGATAGAAAATTGTTACCATAATCCCCTTAATCATTCCTTAAGGCATTTTAAAAATAATAAGAAAGTAAATTATATTCATAATTCTTAGCCTCTAAAGTATATAGAATGCATCATTAACATTCATTGCTAGAAATATCAGGAGACATATAATGATTTTATTTTTAATAAATTATTATTATTATTATTATTTCTATCATTTTTGTTTAATTATTTCATTATTCTTAAAAATACTTTAGTTTTCAAAATAATTAGATTTAAATAAAATATATTGTTTTTTATAATCAAATAGTTTACAATTGTTGTTTATATTCTTATTTTAATAAAAATTGTAAAATATACAAAAAAAAAAGAAATAAAATGAAAATATCCTAAAATACATTACAATTGATTATTAATTTTATGTATCGAAATAAAAATCTTTTTGAATAAAAGAATATAAAGTCGAAATATTATATTCTTTCATTTGAGTAAAAAAAAGATCGCAAAAAAATTTTTTTTTAAAATAAGAAAAAAGATTGGATAAAAATAAAGTTATTAAAAAAATGGTAAAAATAATTTTAAGTAATTCTAATCGAATTTGAAATATTTTTGGATAGAAATACTTATAAAGTATGTTGCTATTTATTTATGTTTTTTTTTTAAATATAACGGGAGTCTAATTATAAAATGAGTTCTGTTGAAATGATTAAATAATCTACTCAAAAAAAATTGAAAAAATGTATTCAGAATAAATGTTTTCTTGAGTAAAAATACTAGATATTAAGATAAGTTTTAGATTAGAATACTTAATTAGTTATTGTAAGTAGTTAAGGGAAACTAAAAAGAAAATATTAGATTAAGGGATTTAGTAAAAAGGATAAGAAAAATATCACAGAAATTAAGTAATAATTTAAGATGTGAGAAAGAGGGAGTAAGATTTGAATGAGAAAGTAGAGGAGAATGGTTGAGATATATTAAGTTTGTAATGTTTTGAGTAAGTTTATGAGTTGAGGAGGTTTTAGAATAATTGAGTTGATAATAGAAGAAAATGAGAGAAATAAAAATGAATAGTTAATAAAGAATATGTGATTACATAATAGAGTATGATAAAAATAGAGTGATGAAAAATAATAATAATAATAAAATTTAAACAAATAGATGCTGATATTTTCTATTTTGATATATTTAGTTAGTGGAAAATTAGAGATCTATACAGATGGATAATTTCAGAATGTGAATTATTCATTAGCAAATTTTGGATATATTCCATATGGACGTTCTTTGAGTGGATATATATTAATGGTAAAGGAATTGGAAGAGAGGTAATTAGATTTATGTAATAAATCAAATATTGCAAAACAACAAGAATTGGAGAATTTGTGGATAATTGGACGAATAGGAAATTGTTCGGCAACAACAAAAGTATATTGTATAAATAAAGATTAGGCATATGTAGCATAGTAATTGGGTGCATAGTTGTTGATAATAATAAGTACTAAATAGAATGTGAGTAATGGAATGGAATTAAAGAATGATGGAATGGGATTTAGGGTGCATATTCCAACAATTGAGATAGGGAAGGATGATGGTGAATAAATATTAAAGAATTTGACAGAGATATAAGACAGTGTACTTTATGGTGTATTGTCATTCAAAGATTCAAAGAGAGTTGAGAAGGTATAAAAGATAATAAATATTAAAATTAAAGCCTGATGTAGTATTGTTTATGACCTTAAATGATAAGGGAGGTTATAAATTCATAAGGGAATTTGAGTAATACTATAAATTATTGGAGAAGAATGCAAGATTTTATATAAGTTATGATATAGAGAGATGGGATGATAGGATATCGAAATACAATATAGGGAATAAAGATTGTCTTGGGGGTGGAAGATATTGTATAAATTAAGGAGGAGAGGGAAGATTGGTTTTAGAAGAGTAATTGAGATAACATTGTATATGGATTAATAACCAAAGTTAATGGTTTGAGTATATGGTAAGAGAGAGTATTTGAAATATAGGATTATTTTGATAAGAATTGTTTTACGATAAAAAGTTATGGTGCATGTTCAGGAGAGAGTTGGATAAGGAAACAAAAAGTAATAGATGAATGCGTAGAGAATTCATATGTGAAAGATTCAAAAAAAGAAAGAGAATAGTTAGAAAATGTAATCATGGATTATTGGGTAGGAAATAAATCATTAAGTGGTATTGTGTATTATCCAGGAGTATTGGTAAATGGGTAACCATATTATGGTAATTTAGATTCTATTAATGTTTTTGAAAATATTTGTAGTAGTATGATTAATTATATCATATTTAGATATGCTTAATACAACAGTATGTACAGCATTATAACAATCACAAGATGATTCTCCAAGTACTGGAAGTGATATTAATTGGGCAATGATTGCATTTGCTGTTGTGAGTTGTATCTTGTTTGGACTATTCTTATTTATGTGTTATAGAAGAAGGTTGAAAATACAAATGCAATAAGAGTTAGGTTAATAAGTTAATGAAATGGTCAGCTAATACATTAAGTTTTATGAAACTAAAAATGAAAAGTGATTTATATATATCATGTTTACATATATAATATATTCTTCATTAGTATATATATATTATTTATATATATATA